CATCCCTGGAGGTGTGGGGCTGCTTGAGGGTAAATCCTACATTTCACATGTCAGTCTGGAGAGGGAGGAGTTGTGTGGGAATTGCAAAATAAGGCAAAAAAAATCTTGTGGTTCTGTTGGTAATACTTGTGGAGTAACTCACAGGAAAGGGGCCAAAGGGCGCAGTTAAGCCAGTATTCCAAATTTCCGTGGTAATTTGCATTTTGTGGGGCTCTGTTAAAGGAGGTGGGATGGTAAGAGACTTGAATTTTGTTGAATCCTCATTTCTATGTCGCTGAATAATGATACAGAGTGACCCTGCAGGGGAGAGCAGGACATCCTGCTGGAGATCTGGAAATGCAGGAATGTCACAGCAGCTGTTATGGATATGGGCACTGGTGTTGTCCTGTTCCCATTTCTGAACTGCCTCATTTTGTGATCACTGAGTGGTTCAGGTTGGAAGGGACCTTAAAGCACATCTAGTTCCAGAATAATTTAACAACCATCAATAGTTTTTTTTTCATTTATTTTTCTATGCCACTGCTTATCCAGCCACAATATTTTTTTCTTATAATTACAAGCTTTTAATTTCAGTTAATGCCTGTGAATTCACACGCTGTGAGACTGTGAAAATCATTCCCACTGTCATCTCCAGACTGAGCTGAACAGCTGTTTCTTGTGTTTTTCATAACCTTCCCCTTGATTTCTGTTTTTAAATAAAGTTACTTTGTAGGTGCATACGAGGTGAGAGCACAGCTTGCTCCTGCTGAGGTCCTGGGTTGGTGGTCAGGGCTGGGCTGTCTGCTCTGACACTGTGTTGCTGATTCCTGTGCTCTTCTAAAAAGTGCATTTCAGTAAAAGAAGCTGAAAAGTGAGGTGCTGAGAAATAATTTTGTGTTTGTTAGCTCATTTTTCTGTTAATTTTCTCTTTGTGTCCTGACAGGCAGGTCCATGAGGTCCAGTCTTACATGGGGCACCTGGAGACTTCAGACAAGGAGTCAGTGCACTGTAAGTGATGAGAGAGGTTGATTTAGTTTGCATTTTTAGCCTTGTGTGCCTTCTCATTAAATTTACAGTTATTATTGGAACAAATTTAGCTCCTGAGCCACTGTGATCCGCTGCTGAGACACAGCACCAATTCAGAATGCATTGAAATCGTGTTGCTGTTTAACTTCAGTAAGGTGATATTTTGTATGAGGACAGTGCAGAAAAGACAGGACAAGAATTTGCTCCATCTTCCTGTTGTAATCCTTTGCTGTGGGTGCTTCTTTAATCTTTTGGTAGAATGCCAGATTTTAGGTGCTGTTAGATTTTGGAGCTCATGGTCAGGGTGTCTGTGCAGCCTTCAGAATAAACAGATCAAAACCCCCACAGTGATGCTCTCATGGAGGTTTTTGAACACCTGGAGTTCTTGGTGTGGACAGAGCTGCAGACTGAGAGCATCTCTGGGCTGGTTTGTCAGAAAGCTGAGCCTGCCCTGCTGTGCTGTCGTTCCCTCAGCATCCACCACCTGGCAGCTTTCCCCTAAAGGTGCTCAGTGCAGTTTTGGGGAAAATGCTGTGATTTTGTGTGCAGGATGCTCCATCAGAGTCAGAACCTGTGATTCCACCTGCTCATGGGAACTGTGTAGAACCATTGGCTCTGAAATTGCCTCAGTAAATTGGACTATAACCCTGTGCTCATAAATGACTGCAATCATGAGATGCTCTGATATGTGTGGCAGGACTTTTTACCCCAGTGCACAACTGGCACATGAATTTTGGACCTGTGTTTGAACTCTTAATTTCTGCATGAGTCACTAATGATGGATTCATCAGAACTTCTGAGGTGAAAGGACACTGCATGGGCTGGATGCATTTCTGCACATGTTCACTGATTCTCTTACCTTAAACACATCTGTGAAACATGACTGGGCTCTAAGAAGGGTTGTGATAAATTTTTCTATCAAAAAATAGCAGTTACTAATAGAATTAGTAATTATATTTATTACATATATATTTTTCTTCACCTTTTCCTCTCTCTCCTCCTCCTCCTCCTTCTCCTCCTTCTCCTTATAATTATTATATTATATATTATATATTATAATATTATAGGTCATATAATAATATATAATATAGTATAATGTAATGTAATGTGATATGATATAATATAATATGATGTGATATAATATAATATAATATAATATAACCTAATATAATGTAACATAACACAACACAATATAACACATATAATGTATTATATTATATTATATTATATTATATTATATTATATTATATTATATTATATTATATTAATTATATTATATTATTCCAAAAAATAGAATTACTAATTCTGGTTTTTGTGGTGTTTGTACTACTCTTTCTGCAATGCCAGACTTCCCAGACTGCTGTTCACTGGGGGTGATTTTAAAAATCCTGAAAATTAGTATAATTTGCCATTTTGTTTCTTTTACTTGAGGCCATTTCAAGAGGTTGGATTATGTAGTTTACAGTCAGTTCACCAGTTTACATAGTTAATAAATGAATAAATATATGTCTCTATTTCTCTCTGTATAAAGTTAGTAGTGTGTATTTCAGAATTTATGGAAAACAGGATTATCCATGGTTGAAGAGCAGGAATAGGGAGCAGGAAATTAAACTTTCCAGCTTTGAGCACAGATATTCCCTTCCTGCTCAGAAAAATGTGCAGTGATGTAGTTTGGTGTGACAAACCAGAGTCTGTCAGCTCTCCTGTGTTGAATTCAGCTGCAGTAAATGATGGGGAGCTGGATTAGCACAATTTCATTGATTTATCTCAGGATGTGAGTCAGTCACTGCCTGGCTGTGTGAGATGCAAAGATGGGGTTGTTTGTGCTCTTTGCTTCTCTGGGTGCTGCTGGGAGTGGTTTTCTGGGTTTTCCTGCTGTGTGGAGTAGTTGGCAGGTGGTTGTTGATGCTTCTGTGTTCTTGTGGCAGCAAACCCTGCTGAGGGAGCAGGAAGGGGCTGCAGGGGGAATGTGTGGGCTTGAAATCCTAATTCTGGTGGGGAAAGAGGCTCAGATGGCTGGAACAAGCAGGGGCTTTCCTAGCTGCCTTCTCAGAGGAGGAGGGAAAGGTGAGAGTGTCAAATTACTGAGCTAAAGAAGTGACATTTCATTGTATTTATAGTTCTCAGTCACCTGATTATTTTCATCCATACATAATTAAATTTTAATTTTGAATCTATCAGTTTTTACATATTGCTTTGAATGCCTTTGAGCATTTGCCTTTATCAGATTGCTGTTGTCTAATTCAAGTGAAATCCTGTTTTTATTTCCTTGCAGTGGTAGAGAATGAGATTCAGGCAAGAATAGACAACATATTCAGCAACCTGGAACGTCTGGAAATCCTGTCCAGCAAAGAACCTCCCAACAAGAGGCAGAGTGCCAAACTGTGAGTTCACTGCTTTGCTGTGATTGTGCAGGGGAGTCTTTGTAATTATTTTAATTAAATTTACTGAAGCCCTTTGCTTTTGATTTGTGTGAAGTCTTTATACCTTGCATAACTCATCTCTGTGCTCTACTGTAGAAAAATTGAGGCACAGAGGAAAAATCACTTTTCTGCATTTAACCCCAGGATCATGAGAATCATTAAAGCTGGAAAAGCCCTCAAAGATCATCAAGTCCAGACTGGTGCAGCTGGATTCATGGCTCTGTTCTCAGATGAGCAGAACATGCACTTGGATGTTCTCTCTGTCCCTTGCTTTTAATGGCATTTTGGAGGTAGAGAGTGAAATTCCTTCATTTGGTGCCATTTTCCAAGCTGTTGGTGACTGAAACAAAGAGATTTCTAAAGTGAGCAATGGTTTGGGCAGGAGGTTGCACCACAGACATCAGGACTTGCTGTTCTTAATTAATTCTGTGACTCAGTTATTAATATTTAGTCCAGAAAAGCCTTTGTAGTAGTAGGAGTGAATTTCATGTCACCTGTATCAAAGAAAGGGGCCAGTATCTGAATTAGTCATGGATTTCTTTATAGAATCCTGGAATGGTTTGGGTTGGAAGGGGCCTTAAAGATAATTTCCAACCTCTGCCATGGGCAAGGACACCTTCCACTAGAGCATGATAGTCTGGTCATCATTAAAATTTACCAATCAAACATTAAATTTTATCAATCATTTAATCAGGGACAGTGGACTTCTGGACATGATTTGTTTCAGCCCAGTGGAGATATCTGAGGTGTTTCCTGTATTACCCACTGACTTTGGAGCTCCTTTTAATAAAACCTCAAACTTCAGAACATGATGCTAATTAAGGAAACTGGAAAGCATCATCTTTTATATGAAAGGGAAGGGTCATAAAATAGAACCTGTACAAATCCTGCCATCTTCCCAAATCTCTGTTAAATGAGAAATGGATACAGTTCTATAACACCTGAAGAGACAATCCATGGGATAGGATGTCCAAGACAGCTCAGGAGTTCTGCTTCACGTTCTGTCATTAGCCTGGAGCCTAAATAATTGATTAAAATGAATAATCACCTGTGCAGTAATCACCTGTGTAGTAGAAAAATGACACAGGGAGGATGCAGGTGTGGAATTTCAGCCTAGCATTGGATGTCCTGCATCTTGTAGAGAAGTGGAACCCACCATTCCTTGTTATTCATGGCTGTTAATTTGCACTGCTCCTTTGCTGGTACAAAAAGCACCAGAAAAAGCAGAGTCTTCAGAAAAGCAGATTGCCAGCTGGGGGCTACGTACAAATCACAAAACAGGAAGGAACTGCTGTGGAATGTGCTTTGAGCTGTTGGATTTTCCAGCATCAGTCTCATTACATGGTTATGACAATCAGCTCACATCCCAGACAGCAGACAAAGAACTTCATGTTACAACTCACTTTAAAACTTTTTTTACCAATCACACAAAGCAAAAGCTATTGACAGTAATTCTATCCAACCACTATAAGCACACATACCTGTGATTAAAACAATGCTTGCACATTTTGAGCACAATACCTGTGTGTAAGCCTTAAAACACAATGCACAGAGCTCCATTATTAAGCTTAAAACTTCCTTATATCTCACTAGATAAACTTTTCTGTGAGTTTTGTGGCACTGCTTTGTTTTGGGATGTGTTTGACAGATTTGGGCATTTTTAATGCCATAAATCCCAGATTTGGTCAGGATTCTGTCACACCTGCAGCTCCATGGTGTGGCAGGCAGTGCAAGCTTAGGGAGTTATTCTAGACAAGCATTAATACACAGAGCATTGTTCTATTTGTCCTTTTCTACTTTTTACACAATTTTTCTGCTGACCTATTTCATGGCTACTGCTTAGCTCTAATCACATTCTGCTGTATCTGAGGCCTGCCTCTTGCAGCTTTCCCAAACCCCTCTGATTTTTTGTTTTTGTGCTGCTGCTCCTTTGCAGGCGAGTGGACCAGCTGAAATACGACGTGCAGCACCTGCAGACAGCCCTGAGGAACTTCCAGCACCGCCGGTACCTGCGGGAGCAGCAGGAGAGGCAGCGGGAGGAGCTGCTGGCCCGCACCTTCACCACCAATGTAAATATCCCTGCTGGGGCTCTCGGTGCTCCAGCAGCTCAAATCCAGCAGGGGGAGGCAGGGAGATCATAAACAGGATTGTTGGGAGCTGCTGGGAGTGTGGGTAAAGGTGGAGAGGAATCAAAATATGTGGGGAGCTCTCTGAGGAAAAGCTGGGCTCATAAGGTAACAGGAAAAGGCTCCAGAAGCTGCTGCTCCTGTTTTATCCAGTGCAGTTGTAAAAGGGTCAGTGAGGTAGGTACCAAAGTGTACAGGGTTTTTGTCAAATGTTTGCCAGATCCTGAGATCTGTGGAAAGCCTCCCTCCAGCAGGGGGGAGGCAGGGAGTGTGTAAACAGCATTGTTGGAAGCTGCTGGGAGTGTGAGTAAAGGCAGAGAGGAATCAAAATATGTGGAGAGCTCTCTGAGGAAAAGCTGGGCTCTTAAGGTAAAAGTGCTCCAGAAGCTGCTGCTCCTGTTTTATCCAGTGCAGTTCCACCTGGATTTACATAGGAATTGTAGAAAAGCTGGGCTCGTAAGGTAACAGGAAAAGGCTCCAGAAGCTGCTGCTCCTGTTTTATCCAGTGCAGCTGTAAAAGGGTCAGTGAGGTAGGTACCAAAGTGTACAGGGTTTTTGTCAAATGTTTGCCAGATCCTGAGATCTGTGGAAAGCCTCCCTCCAGCAGGGGGGAGGCAGGGAGTGTGTAAACAGCATTGTTGGAAGCTGCTGGGAGTGTGAGTAAAGGCAGAGAGGAATCAAAATATGTGGAAAGTACAGCTCTCATGAGGAAAAGCAGGGCTCTTAAGGTAACAGGAAAAGGCTCCAGAAGCTGCTGCTCCTGTTTTATCCAGTGCAATCCACCTGGATTTACACAGCAGTTAAAAAGGTCAGTGAGGTAGGTACCAAAGTGTACATTTTATTTGGATTTTTGTCAAATGTTTGCCAGATCCTAAAATCTGTGAAAAGCCTGGGTGTTACACACTGCTGGCAGCAGGTGTCAGCAAACTTCAGTGTAGCCAAACAGATCACTCAGCTGGGACAAGGCCCTTGGTTTTTGCCTATAAACGAGTAAAAAGTTGGGAATAACATGAATGTGGTCCAGCTGTTCTTAGTTCCTCCATTGGGAAGTCCTCCCAGTGCAAATTTCTGGGGGAATTTTGATCTGAATAATGTAGGCTTCACTTTTCTGCAACTGAAAAGTTAGTCTTGGGTTTTATTGGTTTTTTAAAAATTTTGTTTATTTGTTTTTCTTAAGGTTTTGTTTTGTTTTGATTTGTTTTTTTTTTTTTGTTTTTTTCATGCTATTTTTACATTTTTGTTTGATTTCCCTCTTTATTTCCCTTCTTTGTTAAAGGCATCTCACCTAATATTTTGTCAATCATTGTCAGGACAAGAGAGAAAGAATATGAGCAATCCTAATTAACTGAGATTTGGGCATTTCAATGCATTTCTCAAAGCCTGCCATAAAGATAATGTCTGGTATTTTGTTGGCTATTTCAAAATTGTAAACAAGGCTTGAAGGAAACACTGCAATTTGTGTTTTTAAATATTGTGGTGTTTCTCTGCAAGTAGGGACAAATTTTCCTACAGGAAAATTTGCTGTTCAAAAACAACAGGCTTACAGATATAAAATATAGAGCAGATGAGTTATTTTCTCCTTCAGGTATTGAAAGGTATAGTGGATGAAAAAAAAATACACAATTACTTTGTATTTCTTTTTAGTTTGCTACAAAAACATGGCTTTAAAATTATCCTTTAATAGGAAAACGATGATTTATTTATCAGTTATCAGCCTCTCTTGGTTACATTTTTCCACAGTTCCTATTCATATACTCAGCTGAGTTTGTGAGTAAATCACTGGAAAATCCAGAAAACCTTTTGGAACACAGCTGTAGCAGTGTTCTGAACAGTTTGCTCAATTCAAGAGTTAAAAATTGTATTTATCTTTAAAGCCTTTCCTTGTACCTGGAGAAAATCACAGCAAAACAGAGCTCTGGTGCCATTCCATGCCTTTGTGGGGTGTCACAAATCTACTTCTCTATTTTTATTGCTGCTTATAGTGGATAAAAAAAGCCTTGCACAGAAATGAAATCTGCTGGTTTGAAGGTTGGTAAATATCTGGAATAAGAGCCATTCACATGGAAATCCAGGTGCTTCTGCTCAGACAATTGACATGACTGTGAATTCTGCCTTTGGCTGGTTCTTGTTCTGATGCCATCCCTGCCTTCCTGTGCAGTCCAGATTAGAGTTTTACCCTGTTATTTCCATTTCAAGATTTCCAGTTCCTACATGAGTGAATGCATCTTTTCTGGAAAAAAACCCATGAAAAATACTAATTTTTAATGTATTTTTTTAAATAGGGCCCTGGGTGATGAGTGAGACAGAGCTCAGGGAACCAAGCCCATGTCTGTTTGCCCTCACTGCCAAAAATTTGTTTAGAATGTCATGTCCAAACATTTTTTCATTTTTGTTGTTCAGAAATGTGGTGTCAAATCTTTCACTTGCAGTGATCAATGACTGAACACCTTCTTGGTGTTTAACACCTCCTGTTAGCTTTGATGTTCTCTCCTGCAATACCCTTTCCTACTGAGAGTATAAAAATTCTCTGCTTTTGCTCTTTTTTATCCTTGAGATCTCATTACAGTTGAGCAGCTGCTCAGCTTTGCCTTTTGGCTTCCTCCCTATCTTCTCTAAATGACTTTTTTCACTCAAATATCAATGTTGTATTTAAAATCATTATGAAAAAAATAATGTAAGCACAATGCTGGCAGTCCTGTTGGGTTCTGGCTGTGTGCTTTTTGTGTTTCTGAGTGAGCAGGTAACCGAGTCCCTGCTTTCCCCACAGGACTCTGACACCACCATCCCGATCGACGAAACCTTGCAGTTTAATGAATCCCTGCAGAGTGCCCACCGAGGCATGGATGAGCTTATTGGCAGTGGCACCAACATCCTGGCTGGGCTGAGAGACCAGAGAGTCACTTTAAAGGTGGGGGCATCATTTTTTACCACAAAAACCCCACATTTTTCTGTCTTCGTGCTGATCAGGCTAAGTAAAATCAATAGATGTGTTGTTTCGGTACATTGCTCCGAGCTGAGGATGCTGGAAAAGCCCAAATTTCATTTAAACAACTTGAAATCTTTACATTTTACCATCCTGTTAGGAATAGCTTTAGGATCTCTTGGGGCTGGCTGGCCTTCACCTGCAGGGCAGCATCTGGAGTGCTGAATGTTTATTTTTTTGGTTGGTTGTTGTTTGTTCAGGTTCAGGAGGGGCAGTAAGTGGCTGACAGGGAGATGCTGGTTCAGATTAGCATCACTCAGAGCAGCCACAAAGCTGCTCTAGAGCACCTGTGATTAAGATTAGTAATAAAGATAATGCACCTCAACAATCCCTCCCTCCCTGCTGAAAACAGCTGCATTTCTGCAGGTCTCTTCATAGCAAATATTTGCCTTTTATTTTACACACTGTTCAAAGTGATGGTCAATTCTGAGTGAAAAACTCAAGGATACAAAAAACTTTTTAATAAGAAGTGTGTGGGGAGAAAATGGACTTGTGAAAAATGTAGGGAAATGCCTGCTGTGTTCATCTTCTGATGGGGATAACTGCTGTTCTCAGTTTTGTGATACTGCTTTATTTTGGGATGTATTTGCCAGATTTAGGTATTTTTAATGCCATAAATCCCAGGTTTGGTCAGGTCTGTCACACCTGCAGCTCCATGGTGTGAGCAGTGCAAGCCTGGTGTGCCCCTGGGGAGCTGAGCTGGGTTCCAGGCTGCCTGGTGTTCCCTGAGCCCTGCACAGAACCAGCCCAGCTCCAAACTGGGGCTGCAGCTCCTCCTCTGCTCCCTACTCTGGTGTGCCCAAGCCCTGCACCCACAGATCTTACACAGAAACATTAAAGCAGAGTTTGAAGCTGAGTTCTTTCCAAGATGAGTTTTAGCTTCTGGTTCAGGTCACTTGTTCACTAACCTGGTGAGTATGGATTTGTTTTAAGACAAGGTTCATTGCTAGAAAAACCTTGAAGAAAACTCAGTGTTCATTGCAGAGGAGTGGTGCTGCTGAGCAGTCTGGTCACAGGAGTGATGGGGAGAGGGAGAGGTTCTGCTGCCAGCTCATGAGGAAAAGGCTGGAAGGATTCATATTAGTGCCTGGAGAAGATTTGGGTTGTGAATGCTTTTTGAAAAGAGCACTTTCCTTGAAGTCCCTGCATCCCTGAGAGGATTGTAGATATTTGTCTACCCTGTTGAGCCCTGGGCTGCTGCACAGGGAATTGGAGTTGATTCTCCAAGCTGGGAAATCACTGATCCAAGGTAATCTCTCATGAGGGACTGGGAGAAGCACATGGATTCTGGAGGGTTCCTGAGAGAGGAAGGTGCATCCAGCACAGGAGAGCTCCCAGGTGCCCTGCAGGGATGGGGGAATCTGTTTCTTGTGGCAGCACCAGTCCTGTGTGGCTGCTTTTGCTGGCTGGCAGTGACTGCCTGGTTCCTGCTGACTCTCCCTGGGCCTCCTGGCTCTTCTGCAGCCTTTGCTCTGGGCAGGGAATTGTTGTGTGTCTGTCCATGGCTGCTGGCACACACAGGCTGTGCTTTCAGGGCCATCACATTCCTGAGTGTTCTCCCTTGCAGGTGAGGAAATGTTTGTTCATGTTAACTCAGCTTTTCTTGCACTGACACAGATTTTGTTGCCTGAGAACATCTGGCAGAGCAGCTGGTGTGGAGACAGCTTGCAAAGAGAAATGGGTTGATGTGGAATGATGGAACATCCCATGTTGGAAGGGCCTCCCAAGGATGATCCAGTCCAACTCCTGGCCCTGCAGACACCCCAACAATTCCACCCTGTGCCTCCCTGGGAGTGTTGTCCAAGTGCTCCTGGAGCTCTGGCAGCCACTGCAGGAAGATTCTTTTCCTGATATCCCACCCAACCCTCTCCATGCCCAGCTCCAGCCATCCCCTGGCTCCTGTCCCTGTCCCAGAGCAGAGATTGGAGCTGCAGCCCCACTGAGCTCTGCCCTCACTGCTCCTCCTATGACTCCTCCAAACCTTTCCCCACCCTCATGTCCCTCCTTTGCACACTAATAACTTTATTCTCTGTAATTTTTGTATGTTGGGTATAAATAGGTATGGAATGATTATTCCTAGATTGTCCCTTTAACTGATCCAGTTGTGCAATTCCACTGTTTCATGACTGCAGGAATTGAAGAATTTTCCCTTTCTGTTGTTTTGCTTTCATTTTAAAGTTTCATATGTGGTTTTTGTTCATCCAGCAAGGTTTGGTTTTGTTCTGAAGGGGGTTAATAGGAGCTGTGGGAACTGGAGAAAACTGATTATGTGGGACTGGCAGAGACACAACCCAACTTCAGTGAAGGGCCTGAACTGCCTGGGACACAAGGCACTGCTGTAGTTTGGCATTGCAAATCTGTGTTTTATGCACTGAGAAACTTCTGCATGTGGGTCTGCTCTCACTCCTCCTGAAGGAGTGCATTTTTCTGAGCCACTTTTTATCTTGTCTCAGTCCAGACAGATTGTCTTGTGTCTTTAACCACATTCCTGTTCATGTGTATGAATTAATTAGTCCAAACATCCAGTTGTTTTCTGTGGTGTTTGTGAGATCCTTGGGACGAGGTGAGAGATGAGAATCTGACTCCCAAGTTCTCAGAAGGCTGATTTATTTTTTTATGATATTATATTAAAGAATGTTATACTAAAACTATATTAAAGAAAGAGAAAGGATACATCAGGAGGCTTAACAAAAATTAATAATTAAACCTGTGACTCTTCAGAGCCTTGACAGAGCTAGACCATGATTGGTCATTAAATTTAAAAAAATCACATGCTGGGTAAACTATCTCCAAATCACATTCCAAAGCAGCAAAACAGGGAGAAGCTGAAGCTTCCCAGGAGAAGAAATCCTGGTGAAGGGATTTCTCAGAAAATATCACAGTGACAGTTTCCAGGGTCCCATGGCCACCTCCTGTGGAATGGTAGGGATGGTTGGCTGAGAGAAGTTCAAACCCATCTGTGATGGTGTTCACAGGGGTTTGAGGATGAGAGAAGAGATGAGGATCTGGCTCCATGTTTCAGAAGGTTTGATTTATTATTTTATGATATATATTATATTAAAGCTATAGTAAAAGAATAGAAGAAAGAATTTTATCAGAAGGCTAGCTAAGAATAGAATAAAAAAGAATGATAACAAAGGTTTGTGGCTCCGAGCCAGCTGACTGTGATTGGCCATTAATTAGAAACAACCACATGAGACCAATCCCAGATGCCCCTGTTGCATCCCACAGCAGCAGACAATCACTGTTTGCATTTTGTTCCTGAGGCCTCCCAGCTTCTCAGGAGGAAAAATCCTAAGGAAAGGATTTTCCATAAAAGATGTGTGTGACACCCATCACTCATCCCCCATGAAGAAACACTCTTGCACTGTGAACAAGAAGTCTCAGAGCACGAGGGTGATCGTGTCTTTGCTGTTTTGTTGTCCTCAGGGCACCCACAAGAAGATCCTGGACGTTGCCAACATGCTGGGGCTGTCCAACACGGTGATGCGGCTGATCGAGAAGCGCGCCTTCCAGGACAAGTTCCTCATGCTGGGGGGCATGGCTGTCACCTGCCTCATCATGTTCCTTGTTGTGCAGTACCTGACATGAGCTGCTGGCCTCCTGCAAGAGGACTGACTGCCTCCAGAACTGAATTTCCTCTGGGTGCTGCTTTGGATGAGCCCTTCCCGTGGACTTCAGAGTTTACAAATCCCGCTGGGACAGCGTCATGTGGAAGGCACGTTGGGAAATGGATGTGTCAGGAAATGGGAGGGACACTGTGCTTGAGAATGGCCCTGTGAAAATAAGCCCTGGCCTTTACTGCTCTCCCCTCAAGCCTGCAGGTTAATAGGAAGCAGAAGTGAACGTTGTGCCCAGCTGTAGCAAGGCAGGAATGTCCCTTTGGGCACACAGGGATGGGAGGATGCAGAGGCACAGCCTAGGATGCTGCCAGTCTTTCTGACCTGACCCCCTGCATTTTGCAGTGCAAGAATGGCACAGAGAATTTCAGTGTTCATGGGACTGAGTGTGCAAAAAGATCTGGGAAGTGAAGGGCTCCCATCTGCTTGGAGGAGGATGTGTGGGGAGGAGTCTTAGAACGGTTATGACCTCAGTGAACTTCACACACAGTATCACCCAGCACACATCTCTCTGGTTTAGGCTGAAATGCTGCTCTGCTCCTCTGAGGGATGTTCTGGTGCCTCTCTCTGCCACTCTTCCTCCTGCTTCCACTGGGATGCACATCAGGCCTGTGGCATCTCCCTGGGCCTCCTGCCAAATGCAGCCTCCAAAACTGAGATTGTTAATGCTGCAGCACAGAGCTTTGGGGAGCTGTGTTCATTTGCTGAGGTGCAGGTTGGGTTTGGGGCTCTGGAGCTGGAAATTCTGAGTGGATGGAGCAGTTGAGTCTCCCTGTACTCCCTGGAGGTGTGGGGTTGTTCAGAGCTGGAGCAGGTTCTGCACACCTGAGTAATGGTGGGATCAGCACAACAGGCCCTGGCACTGAACATCAGCTTGGTCAGGAGAGTTTCCTCAACTCTGTGCCTTGGCATGGAGAATCCCCACCCTTGGCAAGAGCATTCCTGTGCTGCCCTTTGCACCCGTGGAGTTCCTGTGAGGGACACTCAGCTGTGTCACCTCCTGGGGTGGTGCTGGCTCACACTCATCCCTTTGGGCTCATTCCCTGGCCCAGTGAAACTGGAGCTGTGAGATCCTGGCACTGCTTCCCCTGCAGCCTGGGGGTGTGTGATGGAGGTGGCATTTTGGGATCATCCATTTCAGTCACCCTGCAGATCCATTCCCATCCCCATGTGTGACAGTTCTGGAGCGTTCCCTGGTGTCTGACAGTGGCACAGATGGGTCATACAGAGATGATGCTGGCAATTCCTTCCCTCTTTCCTGTCTGGAATGGTTGTGGGTCTCTGAATTAATAAGTAATCACAAGCTCTACATTCTGCTGACTGCACCGAGCTTTGCTTTTATTATGTGTTGCAAACTGAGAGAAAGGGTTTTAATAACTGAAAAAAATGTTAGAATGAATTTTAGGGACTGTGGGCCATGGGACAGGGCCATGCTGGTGAGCAGAGCTGAGTGACCAGTGGCCCCTGTTCATGGGCTTCTCCATGTGTTTGATACTTTCCTGCTATTTCTCCAAGTGTTTCCTGCTCTTGGAGTTCCCCATCTGTCCAGGTTTTCCAAGGAAATACTGCAGCAAAGCAAGCATGGAGCTGGTTTTCATTTGAGCCCAAGGAATTAAGGAATGAAAAGGAAAAGAGGCAATCTGCAGTGATGGAGCATCTGTCTGGCTGTGTAACAGAAATCATAAATCCAAATTTGCCTGAAATTTATTTTGGATATGAAATCTGATGGATTCAGCCCTTGAGAGGGCAGCTGAGCACTTGCAGGGGGTCCCTGGGAAATGTCAGTTCTGATGAACTGATGTGGTTCCACTGGATTTTAGTGTTGGGGTTTAAGGGTCCCTGGGAAATGTCAGTTCTGATGAACTGATGTGGTTCCACTGGATTTTCCAGTGTGGGGGTTTAAGGCTGTCACTGTTTGAAGTTTCAGGGTTTGTCTTTCATCAAGGTGGGACTCTGGCCAATCTCTCTCCTTTTGGGCTATGGTAGGAGCCATAAAATACTTGGAACTGGATTTTTCTTCTGTTTCTGAGCCTAGCTTGCCATTTTAATAGATATTTTCCTGTTGATTTATTTTGCCTCTGGACTCTCTTGTCCCTGCACAGATTTCCTCTTGGTGAGCCAAGTGTCCTTGCTGCCCATGACACCCAAAGGTGACACTTGGGGCTTGAAGGAACCACCTAAGCTGGATGTGGGGACATGTGACATCAGAAATGTTTGTGGTGCCTGTAAATCCAAAGAGATTCCAAGGAAATCTCAGGTGGATTGTGTGAAACCCAAAAACCCCATGGCAGTGGGACAGGGGTGCTTCCTTCAAGCCCCACATTTCCCCTTTGGCTGCAGTGGGACTGAGCTGGAGCCCTGCTGGGATTGTGGCTGTGCCAGAGGAAATGAGCTGGAGGCTTTGCTGCTGCAGCTTGGTGGTGTTTCCTTCCTCAGCAAACACCTCACTCACTTCTGCTTCCAAACTGTGGCACGAGTCCAGCTCTGGGGTGAGCTGGTCTCAGGAGGGGACTGTGGGAATTCACTTGCCTCTGGAATAAAACTTTTTATTTTACCAGTATTTTATACATAAAGGAACGAGGGTGGGACGTGATTCATGTGATGTTCTGTGAATAAAGATTTTTTTCAACCAAATTAAAGATTTTTTTTTTTTACCTTAACCAACATATTGGGGCCAAAATAAACAAGCAGGTTCACTGAAACCTGGTTCACTGTGGACAGAAGAGGGGGCCATGGGGGTGCTGTGGGGGGCTCCCCTTTGGGTCAGTAGGAAATGATCCCTCTGCACTGGGGCTGGAAGGAGCAGGAGCCTGTGCTGGGTGGGAAAAAGGCAATCACTTGTTTTTAAAATTTTAGAAGTTTAATAACAATGAAATGGTTATAAAAATATAATACAATTAGAGTAATAATAATTTGGACAATTTGGATTAGGACAATATGAGACAATAGAAACAAAGAGTTAGGGACAGTCCAGGTACCTGTTTTTGGGCAAAATAAGCCCAAAAAAGAACCCACGTTAACAGAGGATTAACCCTTAAAAGCAACAGCCTGTTGCATATTCATACACCTCATCCATGATGCATAAATTCCATTCAAACACAGGATTCTGTCTGGGCAGTGTCAACTTCTTCCTCTGAATCCTAACAAGAAGTTTTCTGATAAGAGAGCAATAAATTCCTTTTCTCTGAAAGATTCAGGTGTCCTGTGGCTGCTATCTCGCTGTGAGTCCTTTCTTTAAAAAAAGTATCCTATACAGCATAGTTTCTATTTTAACACTTTTTTTATAACCTAAAACTATATTTAACACACTATTAAGAGAATTAATACACCATCACTTTCTAGCACAACACATATAATATTCATTTTAATATTTGCAAAAAGCCAATCATAAAATACCCATTTTTCCCACTGGGCCTCACTGGTCAGACTGGTGGGATGTGGGATGTTCCAGGTGGGACAGCCCCAGAGCTGGTGGTGAAAGGGAGCTGGAAATGGGTGGGTGATGTCCTTTCCACCTGCAGTGATGCAGGTGAGGGGCTGCTAATTAGGGGAAGTGAAGGAAGAGCTTGGAGAGCAAAACGTGGCTGTTGATAAAGAGATTGTGGATTTAAAATGTGAGATCAAGGGGTTGGATCATTTCCCTCTTGCTCTTCAGTTCTGTTTTGAAGTAATTCCAATCCCCACAGCTACAAAACACTTATTAAATCAGAAAATACCAGCAAAAAATGCAGCACGCTGTCAGTGCTGTGTGTGTGAGCTCCATGCAGAGGGATGGGATGGGGCTGCCCTGGGTCCTGTCAGGGTGGGCCCTGAGGGGCTTTGATGCCCTGAGCAGCAGCTGGAAATGGGACTGAAGCTGCAGGAGTGTGTGAGAGTGGGACTGGACCTGTGGAATAAATCCAGGGAAGGTTTTATGCCCTGGTTTCACCCAGGATTGAGTTAATTTCCTTCCCAGCAGCTGTTCCCAGGGCTGTGTTTGGGATTCGGTATGGGAGTAATGTTGATAACACAGTAATGTTGATAACACAGCAATGGTTTGTGTTTAAATTAAGGACTTTTCAGTTTCCCAGGCTCTGCCAGTGAGCAGAGGCCCAAGAATCTGGCACAGAGCAGAGCCAGGACAGGTGACCTGAACTGGCCAGAGGGATATTCCACACCACAGAGAGTCGTTCTGAGCGTATAAAACCTGGGAATGATGGCCTGGAAGGGGTCAGAGGGTGCTGAACAACTCTACTGGTGCCAGCACTTGTCTGTCTGGGGTTTTATGTCTCCCCCTGTCATTATTTTTTTTATTATTGTTAATTATATCTAACTTCGTTTCAATTATTAAACTGTTCTTATCTCAGCCCCCGAGTTTTACTTTTTCCCCCCCAATTCCCCCATCTCCATGTGGGGGGCAGTGAGTTGTGATGTTTAGTTGCTGGCTGGAGTTAAATCTGAGAGGGAAATGTTTTAAAAAAAACGAAACCAGTGAGTATTTGAGCACTTAAAACCAGTGAAATGAGGGTAAGGTATGTGTAGGAATAGAGGGGCAGATAAGTGATAAGAGATGATGATTGGGTGGGCCAGAATTAATTTAGAAGGAAGATGGTGTAGGTAAGAACCAGAGGATGTTTGTACTTGGCCCAAAGCCTGCTCTGTGTCTGCCTCTCCCTGTTTACTCTTCCCCAGGTTAACCCTGCAATGTCTGAGCTCAAGGAGATGTGTTAAAAATCAACCTCCTCTAGAAGCCCATGGTGACACTGCCCAGGGCTGGAATTCTCAGCTGGAGGAGGAAAATATCCGTTCCCAGGCCATAAAAGGGGAAGGGGTTGGGGGTAAAGGGAAAGCTCTGTCAGCTCCCTGCTCCTGCCTCACGTTCTCTCCATGAGGTCCCTGGGTGATGAGCCCTGTGCCCCAGGGGAATCCTGGCATGGAGATTTCCCAGTTCCCAGGGAAACCTGGCATGGAGCTTCTCCAGTGCAGGGAATCCTGGCAAGGACTTCCCTGGCATGGAGATTGCCCAATCCCAGAAAATCCTGGCATGGAGATTCCTGGCATGGAGATTCCCCAATCTCAGAAAATCCTGGTATGGAGATTCTGCAGTCCCAGGGAATTCTGGCATGGAGATTCCCCAATCCCAGGGAATCCGGGTATGGAATTCCCTAGCATGGAGATTCTGCAGTCCCAAGGTATCCTGGCATGGAGTTCCCTGGCATGGAGATTTCCCAGCTCCAGGGAATCCTGGCATGGAAATTCCTGCCAAGGAGATTGCCCAATCCCAGGGAATCCTGGCAAGGAGTTCCCTGGCATGGAGATTTCCCAATCCCAGGGAATCCTGGCATGGAATTCCCTGGCATGGAGATTACCCAGTCCAGGGGAATCCTGGCATGGAATTCCCTGGCATGGAGATTCCCCAGTCCCAGGGAATCCTGGCATGGAGATTCCCCAGTCCCTGGCATGGATTTTCCCTCTTTTCCCCCAGCATTTTTGGGCTCCTGTTCCACCCCTCTTGGAAATCTTTGTGCCTTGGCTTAGGGAGGGGAAGGGCCAAGGGAAAGGAAGGGGAATCAGAGGGATCAGAGTCCTATCAACGCTCTGGAAAGGGGAAGCAGAAATTAAAGCCCAGCAGGATTGGAAATTACCCTGGAGTTGCAAATAGAGGGCGGGAATATTGTCAGAGCCCTTGGATGTGCCGGACACAGCAAAAGGGATTTGCTGCCTTGGGTCATTATGGGATGTCAGCATTGGGTGTGTAGGGATGGGGTCAGGAAAGCCCTGATGGAACAAGGACAGAGGCCAGCACAGAATGGCCAAGGAGAGGGCACTGTCACAGATATATTTGATCAAAAATCCTTTTGCCAGGATTTTTTTCTCCTGAGAAGCTGAGAGGCCTCAGAAAGGAAATATGAACAATGATTATCTGCTGCTGTGGAATGCAACAGGTGCATCTGGGATTGGTCTCATCAAGAGCTTCCCATGCCAGCACTTATTGACTCCAAAGAAAAGCAGTTGCAGGCAATTTAAAACATTTTTATTTTAAATTGCTAACAAGAACCTTGACATAAGTTGACAGAACTTTCAAAGAATATTAATTTTGCACATTTAAGCCAACATGTATTATTTTCTAGTAGTAGTATACAGATGGTGGAAATCCAGTTTTTAGGTGGAAATATGAAGGCATTAATCTCTTTCTATACAAACATCATGTCTGGCTTCTTAATTTTTTATGGTTGTATATTCAGATCCCATTTTGTACTTTGCATGTTTAGAAATTGACTGCTTGATCTGAACATTTTCAGTCCTAAATATGCATTTTTACTGATTTAAACCATTCCTATTCCCTTCCTCCCCCAATACAGAACAGGCACCTGAGAGCTCTCAAACACGTTTCAAGCATTAGAAAACTGCAAAACTCGAATGGAAACTGGAAAAAGCACCTCAGTGTCCACTCTGTTTGGAATTGTGTGTGATGCAAGGAATTTGCAGAGGATTTTCTGTTAAGGTCTGCCTGGGGAAGTTCCTCACAGACAGGAGACAAAGGCAAGGCCCAAGGTGACAAAGGCAACGCTGAAGGTGTGAAGGTGCAAAAGTTAAGGTCAGGATGCCCTCAAAGCAGTCTCTGCAAATGACAACACAGTTTAAAACCCAACCTGAATGCTTGTCATACTCTGAGTGGAGAAACTCAGACTCCAACAAAATAAAAACAAGATGTGGATGCACAGTAAAATACTTCTAAGTTTTCTTGTTACAAAAAACTTGAGACTTGGCAATTATGATGTTTCTCCTGTTCACAGGGAGCCACCATGACCCAAGGTTGGGCTAGGATGGTTTCAGTGTACATTTATCAGTCTATTTTTTTTCAAAAACAATAACAAAATTCACCAAATAAAGGTGAGGGTAACTTTTAAAACAAATGGTTGGGGGAAACATCTGCCAACCAAGGACAGTTCCACATATTCAAATGTTACAAGAAATATATCAGGCAACAAAAGCCAGGTGTAGAGTCCTGCCATCAGGTCCAGAGCATGTCTGCGTTCTGCAGGAGCTCTTCTGTCCAAACCAGGGAGACACTCACTGCTGGGGCAAAACTACATTCCAAGGGGAGGAACTAATACTCCGAATTCTGCAAAGGACAAAATACAATTTTTGCATGAGATGGACAAAGATACAACAACTTCCCCCACTCCCCCAAGGGACAGTGGCCTCTGCATTTGTCCCCTTGGCAACAAGGCTTGTCTAAAAGTGACATTTCAGTTTGGTTTGCCAGATTTAGCCCAGCACTGTGGCAATTCACAGTCTCTGGCTGTGCAGGAGCTGTGCCTGCAGTGCCCTGAGAGCACCAGGTTTAGTTGCTCCCAGTGGGAACCAGGACAATCATTCCTCAAAGCAGTTGCTTTGCTGCTAAAAGCAAATAAAAATCTTCGATTTCAGCATTAGAGCTCCTTCTCTCCCTCCTCCAGATGAAATTTGGTACTGGTTAAAGGACCCAATTACCCCTACAGGTGCTGGTTAAAGGACCCAATTTCACCTCAGCTCTGACTTAGCTGAGCCTGACAATGAACAAAGTAAAGGAACAATTAGGTTTAAGTTAAATTTGGTATTTTTTTCCCCCATTGGTGCTGGTTAAAGGACCTAATTTCACCTCAGCTCTGACTTAGCTGACAGTGAACAGAGCACAAAGCAAAGGAAAATTCTGATTTAAGTCAGGGCAGGATGGGAGTGAAAGGGGATAATGGGGATGCTGTGTTTAGAGAGACAGAGCCAACATGGCCAGAAACAGCTCTGCCTAAGCTGGGCCACAGGAATGGAGCAAGGAAAGAACAGAGAGGATGATCTGAGCAGCAGATTCCCTCAGAAGCTGCTCTGTCCATGCAGGGGGAGCCACAAAGAGCTGCCCCAGGGATTCAGGAGCTCAGTACTCACAGGCCTGCAGACACGCTGTACGGGAGGGTCTCAGGGGGCCGCATCCGGGAGGGCAGAGAGTTGTTCTGCTCACTGATGGGGCTGGAATTGAGTGAATTTGGTTATTTCTGGCTCAAATTTATGGATTTTACTGCAGCAACGCCCTGGGGGATGGTGCTGTGCTATAGGAATGTGTCACCTTGTTGATGGAGTGACAAAACTCTCCTTTGTCCCCTTAAAAAGGAAAAAGGCCCAGAAGTTTCTCTCTTCAATGAGGTGAAAAAGACATTTCATAGGCCCTGGGGGATTTCACCTCAAAGTTAAGGATGGCCAAAACGTCCCACCTAAGCAATTCACTAGAAAAAGAAGAGAATCAAGGAACTAAATTGCTTTTGTGAGATGTTTTACCAACAGCAAGAACCTCTTGCACCTGGATTGGTTTTTCTCTGTAAAGAACTTTGTTATGTTGCTTTTTATTAAAACTTTTTGTTTCCAACACTGCAACAGAAGCCATCCTGCTGCTTTTATGCCTCCAAAGGTAGCTGAGCTATCTTGGGTGAGTAATAGACCTCCAAGAGCTTCTGAGACCTGGCTGGAGGAGGCAACTATTACTCTGTGCCACCCTGCTGGTGTGCTGAGAGCTGGATGAGCTCTGAACACTCAAAGGTTTTGTAAGGAATCTGACAGGTGGGACCAGGCAGTGCTGCTGTCAGCCCCTATGGAAGAGCTCACACAGAACTCAAAGCTGCCAGGGGCAGGATTATTGCTGGATTGTAAACGAATCTGCTAAATAAACCTGTTAAATAAACCTTAAAACACTTTGCCAGCCAGGGCAGCCCCTTCCTGTCCATCCTTGTTACCCCTGCCCCAAACTCTGACCACACTTTGGAAAGGGCACAAGGGGAGGATTCTGCTGACACAGAGCCCAACTCCAGCACGTCTGCCAGGCCCCAAGAGGCAGGAGCTCACAAGGGATCTCCCAAGGACTCAAAGAGCAGCCTGCCACAGGCACACAGGAGCAGTATCAGTGCTCCCGAGGGTTTCCTGCTCTGCTCCAGGCCATATGAGGAAGCAGGACACACTGAGCCAGCAGCAGGGCTCTACAGCAGCAAAGGCAGCTCCTGTCCAACCATTAAGGTGAGGCTGGGAGATGGCTGCAATATTTGCATAAACAAAATTGATGTAAAGAATCAAACTTGCATTCCCTACCTGCTCATGGCAGAGTTGATCACACCCCACACAAAAGTAGACTCAGATCCCTCCAGCAAGTCTGTGAAAGAGAGAGCAGATGTTGTGGCTCAGAACTAAGAAACCTCAGAAACCACCATCAGATCAGTGGCTTAAATGGCTTCCCACTGCCAGAGGGCAGGGAAGGATGGGATATTGGGCAGGAATTGTGGCCTGGGAGGGTGGGGAGAGTGCCCAGAGAAGCTGTGACTGCCACTGGATCTCTGGAAATGTCCAAGACCAGGTTGGATGGGACTTTAGAGCACTCTGGGCCAGTGGAAGGTGTCCCTGCCCATGGAATGAGATGAAGTTTAAGGTGCCATCCAAGCCAAACCATTCAGGGATCCTGTGATCAGGAATATTTCTGTCATATTTTCACATGTTCAAGAGGGAGGAAAAGTTGACCTATGAGGAATGTTTCCATTGCTATGACCACACATAAGGTACAAAAACTCTTATGGGAGGAAAGATGCTTGGAAATCTCTTTCCATGCTCATTCTGGCAGGCATTTTGGATTGCTCTCTATAGCAAGCCAAGCCTGTTGGGTGCAGAGATGCATGTTCATAGGAATGAACATAAGCAAAGTGTCCTACAAGGCAGCCTTGAGCACTCCTGGGCTCACACTGGCCAGGAAGAAGGCAGCAGATGGGCAAATTCCTCACCTGTTTCCCAGTCTTCAGCACTGGGAGGTGCCTGCCATGTGCTCCCATTATTCAGCTGCTCCTGTGAGGACACAGAGGCCCGGCTCACTTCAGGAAAAGAGAGAAAACACAGTGACCAGCAGCCCTTAAATCCATTAAAATCCATTAAACACTTTGGTTAAACCTGTAAAACACCTCTGGGCTTAAGAGCAAGCAAATAGGTTGGGGACAGCTGAAATGCAGCAAGTTCAAATTTGCTTTTCTAAATGAAAAAGAGTAGACTCTGCTCCCTGAAACTCAGAGCAGGAATTCTGCAGTGAAGAGGAAACCTGCTGACATGGATGCAGGCATCACTGCCTGTGCACTTCTAAAGAACACAGAAAACTGTAAGAGGAGCAGCCCATCCTTGTGGCCATTAATGCATCCACTCCTCCTTCCAGAGGCACTTCCAGCAGAGTTTTGGGTAAAACCTTTCCATTCAACAAACCTGATAACAAAATACATGCAAAGCCTACCCAGAGCAGCTGCCATATTATCAAGCAACTGCCCAACAAAGCCAAGCAAATGAGATCAAGCTTCCCCAAAGCTGCTGTGTCACACAAAACTACAGACAACCATCTGCCTCCCACTTCTGGGTTATTCCATGAGGACACCTCAGTCCCCAGGGTGTCTCTTACCCACATCTTGCTCCACAAAGGCTTTGTCATTGCACTTCATGATGTGGTTGCTGAGGTCAGCCTGAGGAACCAGGTGACGAGCGTTGAAGGGACATGTGGCCAATTTCTTTGCAATTTCAGGGTTGCTCTGGACAAGGGAAAACCAAAATTATGCCCCACATCTGTCAAATTCACTTACCTCTTGTTGATACATAAGAAAAAAAAGACTGGGATGTTTGTGGTGTTGCTTTGAAAAATACAAAAATGAACAAGGAATTGCAATGTATTGGTTAGACACTAAATACAAATGAACATGAATTTTCTTCCATTCACAGAAACTGAGCCATCCCGACTGAAATAGAACAGGGCTTCAGCAAACTCCCTACAGAGCACCCTGGGGCAGTCCCTGCCATGGCAGGGGTGGCTTTCAGGTCCCTTCCAACCCAAACCATCCTGTGATTCCATGATTCTTAAACAGTTCTAGCCAAGAAATCCAACTTGCTCTGCTTGCAGTGTCCCCATTTGGGTCAGGGCTGTGTTCTGCACAGAGCAATGGCAGGCTGAGCTGGGTGGAAGTGTTAATTGGATTTTATGCATAAGGGGTGCAAAGGAAACTCAACAAACTTGTCCCAAGCATGAGGGACAATCTCCACCCAGACCCTTGCCACTGCAAACAACACTATGGCATCTTCAGATGGACCAGTGGCAATCCCCAAGCTGCTCTGCTAATTGCTAACTACTTAGACACTGGCTTTATCTGCTTGATGATCACCATCCCACCTCATCCTGAAAGTGGAGAAATGAATATGGCCTCTCTGTGAGCTGCTGGGAGAGAGCAGAGTGTCCTCCCTGAACTACACATGAAGGATCTGTCTCCTTCCAACAGAGCCAGACTGTGAACGGGTGAATGTCGCAGACATCTTTTCATGAAAAATCCTTTCCTTAGGATTTCTCATCCTGAGAAGCTGAGAGGCCTCAGGAACAAAATGTAAACATTGGTTATCTGCTGCTGTGGAATGCAACAGGTGCATCTGGGATTGGTCTCATGTGGTTGTTTGGCCAATTACAGTCAGCTGGCTCGGACTCTGTCTGAGACACAAGCTTTTGTTATCATTCTTTCTTTTTCTATTCTTAGCTAGCCTTCTGATGAAATCCTTTCTTCTATTCTTTTAGTATAGTTTTAATATAAAATATATCATAAAATAATAAATCAAGCCTTCTGAAACATGGAGTCAGATCCTCATCTCTTCCCCCATCCTCAGACCCCTGTGAACACGGTCACAGGTGAATTCCTCTGTGCCTGGAGCTATCACTGAACAAATCCTCAAGTTCTATGAAATAAAAGTTAAACAGGGCTCCTTGTCAGGCAAGGCAGGAACCCAGGGAAGCACAGAGTCACTCAGTCACTGCCTGCCCAGCTCACCTCCTTACACTTCACCAGGTGATAGGGAAACCTCCGTGCTCTGATCCAGTGGTGTTTAACCAGGGGACACTGGATTAACCTCTCTGGATCCAGCAAATCTGGAGGAACAGAGAACAGGGAAGAGCATCTGGTTAGGAAGATGAGAATCACTCACACACTGGGGAAAACCCCACAGCACCACATCAGGGCTGTGGTCTGAGGGAGTTCAACCAGTTGTTCTTAGTTTGAAGCCATTCATTAAGGCAGGCACCTGCTTTGCATAACCAAATTAATTAAACTTGAAGTTTTCATAACTGAGACATTATTTAAAACAGAGGACAGTCAGCACAGTGAGTGCAACAACTCTTTAGGTTACCCTATTAGGGAGGCAACCACCCTTACTCCAAGGGAAAGCCAGCAGCACTTCCCAGCTCTCCTGGAGGAGCATCAGTGGCATCATGGCACACCCACCAGCACCTAAAGCAAATCTTTTTTCCATCAACAGCTTGTTTTGCTGGAGGCAGAATGTGAAGGAACTGAGTTACACTCTGGAGGCAGCAGTGTGCCTAACATGCTACATGAGACTCTGAATGAAGCTTTGAATCATGTAATTATTTAGGAGCTGAGGCGTTACTGAAGCAGCAAAAACACTGAGGAACAAACACTGAATATGAAGCAGTGTGAATCCATAATTGTCTGTAACATAAATTAAAATATTAATAAATATGGATATTCTCAGTGAGGAAGAGAGGCAGCCAGGAGGAGACACAAGGCCCCAGTACTGCCTGTGGGGTACACACCAAGCAGCCTGGGCTGCTCCCATCCTTTCTGCTCTGCAGGGGCTTTCAGCACATTCAGGATTGGATTATGCAGGAGCCAACCCAGCTCTAGGCACTGGCGGCTGCTGCCTCTGCCCTTCTCTCTCTCTCACACACGTGGCTCCATCAGGCCCCAGGCTGGCAGCTGTAAAAATGCTGTTGCACAAGTCCCAACGAACAGAATTCAGGCTAAGAGGAACATGAAAAAAGAAGGGACAGACAGGATCCTTGTCTCCACCCGGGCTGTGCAGTGCTGCTGCCTCTGAGCACTTCTCACCTCAAGAGACAACTCGGGGGAATTTGCATGGGCTCACTGCCCCTGGAAGAGCAATCACAAGTGGCTTTGTCACCGCAAACGTGAAAAATTAAACACTCTAACACTGTTATTTCAGTATGAGAAAGCAGCATTAATTTTTTTTTTAGCACTGGCTGCGTGGGGGATGCTCCTCCAAACATCCCCTCCTCCCCAAATGCATTCCAACTATGGGGTCTGGCCAAGATTCACCCTTTATCAGGCACACAGTCTGTATACTCCTGGCTAAGATACCCACTAGTGCACGTTAATCACCGATATATGTAAATACAGGATTAAGCACTGTCTGTTTAAGGAATTCACAAGGCCAAACACTACTTGTTAAGAGATTTTTCCAATAGCTTTTCCCTTTGAACTGGCGCCACGCAAGACCAAATGTGTTGCCAGTGAAGGGAAAGGGGACAGAGACGAGCAGCAGAGGAAGAGCAGAGCCCGGAGCAGCTCAGGCAGCCAAGCAGCCGCAATTTATACACGGCTGAAACCACCAAAGGCACCACCACAACAATGCCACGCGCAGTGAGAACCTTGTACCTGACA